GGGGGAGGACGGGGACATAAATGCTCAAATGCTCATAAATCCACTGAATCATATACTTTAAAAGGGTGAATTTTATGGAATGTGAGTTTTAGATAAATTTTTTTAAAACTCAGAAATTACTATTTAAAATAGCAAAAATCAGAAATAATTAAAACAATAATAGAATTTATACCACATGTTCTATGCTATAAACAGAGTTGAAGGGCTGGAGGTATGGCTCAAGAGGTAGAATGCCTACTTTGTAAGTGTGAAGCCCTGAGTTCAAATCCTAGTCCCACCAAAAAAAAAGAACAGAAATATAGTTATTAAAAGATGTATTAAGCAGCTTGTCCATTTATGGAGATTTGAATATGTATACAAGTACATATATGTGTGTGTGAAAGAGACATGTTAGGCAAGAATGGACACAAAACAGTATTACATACCAATTTATATAATAATACAACATAAATGAAGGGCACAGACAGTACAATCACTGCCACAGCTTCTCCTGGGCAACTTGAAAGAGGACAGTGTTGCCATGTGTAAACTTTTCTGAGGACACTATCTGATTTAACCCATAAAACCACCAAGAGAGAGAACAGGGGTCCTCAGCACTGTACAGAGACTGTGCTAAGGGTGGCCACCTTCAGAACTGGACCAGGAGGATTTGGATTTTCCCCAGAAAAGACAGATACTTTAATTTTTTATGGTACTGGATTTTGAACTCAGGGCCTCATGCTTGCTAGGCAGGCGCTGTACCATTTGAGCCACTCCACCAGCCTAAAATCAGATACTTTAAAAAAAAGAAAGACAACTAAAATTGTTAGATATTGCAGTGCCTACCAACATCTTCCAGAATCACTAAAAATAAAGACGTTGAGAGCCAAGGAGAGGCAGGTCAACTCTTGGCTGGTTCTCTCCCTCTCTCCTCTCTGTGGATAGGAGGCTACAAATGCCCCAAGCTCACTCTGCAGAAAGCTAGGCAGATGGGCCAGGAAGGGATGCTGGACTTGCTGAGTTCTCAGCCTTTTCTGGCACACAGACATTGGGCAGGATAGCTGGAGCTGCCTGGGAGGACCCCAGCTGCCTTGGTCCCTCTGTGAGAAGCACTGGGCAGTCACTCCAACCTATAGAGGTGAACGCACATCATGCTTCTTTTCTAGCATCAGGACAGGGGCCGTCCCACCAAGGACATCCTCGGGAAGTCTCCTTCCTTCCCTGCCAAATAAATGAGCCTGGAGCAGCAGAAGACAGTGTTTCTGAGTCTGTCCTGGCAGGGAGACCAACTGCTGAGGGCCTGGGCTGCTGGAAGGCTGGGGAGCACAGTGATTAGAGTTTGGTTCTGAGGGGCCAGAGACTGTGGTTCCAACCCTGGAAGTGAAGGCAGCTTGAACCGTCATCATTAAAGACCTAGTTGCTCCTGTCTGTAGAGCCTTTCCTGATGCCATGATGGGGGACACACAGGGGTCATTGCCATATAGCAGCCAGATAACCTGGCCAAGTTCATGCCTATTGTCCATGCTACTGCATTTGGAGACCCTAGCCAGTGACCCAGGGCACCTGTGACTTTCAGAGGCTTGGACTTCTGCAGGGTACACCCAGGTCAGACTGCTGGATTAACAATTGGGCTGGATGAAGGTTGTTCTCTTCCTTCTTCCTCCTGCCTACCCTCCACCCCTGCCTGTACAGCAGCCTGGACTGGAGAAAACTCCTCCAGGCCAGAGGTAGAAGGCAAAAAAATACAACTTGGTGGGGAGGGAGCTGGGGAAGCTGCTGCCACCTGTGTGGGTGCGTGGAGGTGGGGGAAGACATCCAAAGGCCCTTGCAGCTCAGAGGACCCTTTCCTAGGGTTGCAGCAACACTGGACCAGGAAAGCTCAGTGTCCCCATCCTGGTTTGCAGCTCCCCCACTCCCAGCATGCAGGATGTGGTCAGGGTTCCTTCAGGGGCCAGGAGCAGCTAGTGCTGCACCCCTGCAGGGGAGGAGAAGCAGGGTCTACCCAGCTCAGTAAGGGCAGAGCATGGGGTGGGGCCTGTGACCTTGGTCCTTCGTAGTGTTCAGACTGCAAGACTTGGAATTCTGCCCATGCTGAGGCCCACAGCAGCAGCCTACCCAAGTCCAAACTCCGGCAGGGGCCATTTTTCCTCCTGCCTGCTTCCCACCCCATCCAAGCCCACCTGGTTCCTGTACTGGGCTTGGGGGGGGGTGTGTGTGTGTGTGTGTGTGTGTGTGTGTGTGTGTGTGTGTGTGTGTTTTGCAGGTCCGTGTGTGTGTGTTTTTTGCAGGTCCGTGTGTGTTTTGCAGGTCCGTGTGTGTGTGTGTTTTGCAGGTCCGTGTGTGTTTTGCAGGTCCGTGTGTGTGTGTGTTTTGCAGGTCCGTGTGTGTGTGTGTGTTTTGCAGGTCCGTGTGTGTGTGTGTGTGTGTTTTGCAGGTCCGTGTGTGTGTGTGTGTGTGTGTGTTTTGCAGGTCCACAGCTCCTATCCTCTCTTCAGCCTGGCCTACAAACTCCGAAGGCAGGGCAAGGGGGGGTAGGGGTGAGCCATGCTGAGGTCACCAGAGCTGTGGCAGATGCTTCCTCAAGAGGCAGACATGACCTGTCATCCTGGCACACACGTGCAGGACGAGAAAGAACATACTCTCACTCTGAGGCCGAAGCTCCATGTGTCAGAGGCCTCCTTTCTGGGGCATGGGCCTAGTAGCAGAGCCATGCTGACACTTCTGAGTCTGTGCGTGCAGCTGGTGGGAGGCAGGATGACCAAGGAGACCTATGCCCCAGCACAAGCCCAGTAAAAACAGGCACTGGACCAGCCCCACGCCAGCCCTCGCCCTTGCTGGCTGTTACCTCCTCTTACAGGTGGAGTCTTGGCTGCCTGTCCTGTTCTGGGCTGAGGACACGGAGCCCCACTGAGTGGAAAAGCCCAGGAACAGTGAGAATCCACTCACTACAGCAGCCTTGCAGACTGCAGGAGCCCCAGTCTGTCCCTCCAGCCAGCCCAGTGGTGGTTGCTGTTCAAATCCAAGCTCTTCACACTACAGGCCAGCCTCCTCCTGTCTTTCTGTCTGGTCCCTGTCTTCCTTTCTCCAAATTCCAAAGGCACCTTTGCTGGGTCAATCAGACCTGCAGTCTCCTAGCTCTGGACTCTGCAGGGACACTGCAAAGAACTCAAATGGGAGGGAGGGTGGCGGATGCACAGGTGAGAGGGCCACAGGTAACTCTAACCATCACGTTCTTTATCACCCAGGTGGAGCTACCAGAAAGTAAAGAGGGAGACCTGGTCTCCCAGCCCTGCACAGACTGACCAAGTCCAGGCAGCAGAGAGAGGGGCAGGCAATGTCTGCTGGCCCTGCTTAGAGGTGGTGGTAGCAGCGCCCACCCACTCCACACTTTTAGCCTTTTAGCACCAGATGTGCCACCCATCTGCAATGAGTGCACTCTTGTCAGGGCCTCAGAAACACATAGGCTCAGAACATCCATGTCCAAGCCCCTGCAGGGGACCAGGCAGAGACATCCAGAAAGACTAAGGAGAGTTTCCTGAGACCCAGGAAGGGTCACTGCTGGGGGCCAGGACCTCTTCTCTCCTAGAGGGAAGAACCCAGGACCTTCTGAGTGGTGTCCTTCAAGGCCCAACTCAGAAGTCCTATCTGGCCTCCCGCCCCTCACCCACCTCCCACAGCACTGCCAGACTGCACTCCCCATGGTGGAGTCTGTTGTACCCCCAACATCTGTTAATCTATGAGGTATCAGAGAGCAGAGGCTAGGTCTGTGCCATCCCACAGCCTGCACAGAGCTTCTAGCACTAAATACACCTTCAAAGAGGAAAGGAGAGAAAGCCAAAGTATAACCAAGGGAAGGTGGAAAGGAATGAAAGAGGAATGACAAGGAGAAATGACAAGTGGAAAGAGAAAGAGACAGAACTTCTGCCTCATCACAAGGTCTAAATGCTCAGAGTTCACCCATCTGGCCAGGTACACACCTCCAGGACCCCCTGCAACTGCAGAAGGTAGGCACAGGGCTGAGCTGGACATGATCACTGCTCTGGTGACACTGTTGAGTGGTGCCAAGCCTGGAAGCTGAAGCCACACTGCTGTCCCCAGGACTGGGCTCCACCATGCCTGCTAGAGACCTTGCATACATCACCAAACCTCATCTGTAAGGAGGCCAGTAATTGTTCCCAGCTCATATGGGTGCTTGTGGCAGCAGGCGGTAGGGTAGGGGCACTAAGGACACAATAAAAACTAGTTTATATTATTATAGGTAAGAACCAATGCTTTAAATGTAGTTGGTGCTCAAAAATGTAGTAACCTCTCAAAATGCCAGAGCCCAAAGTGACCTTAGCTGCCACCACCTACAAAACTCACTCATTCCACACATGTGGAAATGACCAGGTAGAGGCAGAGATAAGCCGAACACTCAGGTCTCCTAACCAAGGTGGACACCACTCATTCAGTATTTATTCAGTACTTCCAAGGTGGGTGTCCTCCTGGGAGAGACAGTAAGACAAAGACAACACCAAGGAGGACAGTGGTGGGAGGTCTGTGGCACCATGAGATTGTAATGGGCGGTGGGTCTTGAATGATGATCAGCCAAGACCCCTGGGAGCCTCCCAGGCAGGGGGCCTGCTTGTGCAAGTTCAGAAGTGTGTGAAGCCCTCACACAGCTCTGATAATCTCCACCACACTCGTGTAAATCCCAGGGTAACTTCTAGCATTTATTACCTGCCAATTATTTCAAGTGTCTGTGCCAGGTGTATGTCACTAGACCAAACACCCCCTATGGACAGCAACGATGATTTGGGCTCTGCCACCAAGCACCCTGCAGTTGGCTCAGTGCAGAGTGGGCGACACACAACAGGCCCTGGAAGGAGACCACACACCAGCGGAAAGCCTCCCTTCGAGCTAGGCTGCCCACACACAAAAGCCCGGCTGCCGCTCTAGCCTGCAGGGCCTGGCACACGGCCAGACACCAGGCAGGCAAGGCTCAGTCCAAGATGCTGCACAGTGCACAGCCACTCACACACCTCCTGCATCCACAGTCTCCTTCATGATGATCTCCACCCGCTCCACGTGGTGCCGGTTCCAGAGGCCATCCAAGGCTTTGCGGTTCTGGTCCCGGAAGGGCAGAATCTGAGCCACAGCCTGTCAGGGAGGAAGACTGGTCATGCCGGAGATTCTTCTTGGGAGGTGGCAGGGGCCCGGGCTCCAAGGGCTCTAGACCTCTATTCCCTGCTCAGGGGAGAAGACGTTCTCTGAGCAATTGTTCTTGGGCTTCAGGGTTTCACAGCCCACGAAAGACTCCTAGAACTTATAAGTGACCCAAACAGAGTTACCAGCCAAGAAAGAACATATTTAAAATTACTCATCTCCCATAACTATGAGTTTTTAGTAAAGATATTTTCATGCCAAAAATGTCGCAAGAAAAGCCTTCAAATTGAATACATTCTGTATTTCTCCTCATTTTGCAATCAACAAATAAAAACCTCACCAGGCCTGGCCCTGGTCTGGGGACCCCTTTTTGGAACTATTACTATGGCAATTGCATAGGATTGGATGGAACTGGATGGAAAGTCACATCTTTGCCCTAGAACACTACCTGGTATCTGATATGTGCCCTGGATTAGCAGCCTGGGTACCAGAGGACACAGGTGCAGTGTTCTCTCTGCTGGGTTGCTGAGTCAGAACCCTACCTTCTAATAAAAGAAAAATGAAAAAAAAAAAAAAAAAAAAAGAACCCCACCTTCCCAGGGTTCTGACGCCTGAGCAGAGTGAATTGGCCACTGACTCACATCCAGGAGGTCACCCCAAGCTCCTGCCTCTGGGCCCGGCTGAGATGCCTGGGCTCAGGGTCCTACTGCCCCATAGAGATCTTGTTGCCAGCCTTTTGCTCAAAGCAGAATTCAGGAAGCAAGCGACGTTGGAAGAAGGCAGATGGGTACAAAATAGGCTGAATCTAATTCTCATGACATCCCCATAGGGAAACCAGGTCCAGACACCAGAATTTCTTGGCCACCTCTGGTGGAGGGAGCAGGGCAACACTGAGGAATGAGAGTCAGGAACAAGGCTGGAGACACACAAAGAACTAGAAGCTGTACTTACAGACAAGGATCAGCAGTCCTGCCCATTGCTCACTGGTTTCTCTTGCCATAGCACCTCCTGCCCACCTGCAGGGAGATCTCGAGGGCTCAGAGTTCCCAATGCCCTCAGGCGACGTGGCCCTGCTGATGGGGTCCACTGGCAGCCAACACACCCCAGCCTTGGGAGGCTCTGAGTTGTAGCTCACCTGCTTTCCCAGGTAATGGTCCACCCGGTACATCTCCTCTTCTTGAAAAAAACTTCCTAGTTCTGTGGCTAGCTGCTGGGCTGAGCGGTGATCGTGGCCAAAGGGCTTTTCAAGGACAACCCGCAGCCAGGCGCCTGGGCCTGGCCGGCAGCTGCTGTTGATGCTACGGGCAATGTCTGCATAGGCAAAGGGCGGCACCGAGAAGTAGAAAATCCTGCCGGCCTCTCGGAGGCCTTCCCGCTGGACCTGTGCCTCAATGTCCTTGCTCAGAGTCTGATAGTGTTCATCCGTCTTCAGTTGTCGGTACTGGCTCAGCTGCAGGAACTGCTCCTTGAGTTTGCCACAGTGACCAGGTGCCATGTCCTTGGGGCAGGAGAGGGATTCCAGGGCCTTGGCCATGAGCTCTTGGCCCTGCTGGGGGGGCGTCAGGGCGGCTCCATGGAAGCTAAAACTATAGCCCTTCCCTGCCTCATCCAGGTACAACTGGAACAGCCCCTGCCACAAGTATTTCTTAGCCAGGTCCCCAGTTGCTCCCAGCAGGATTATGGAGACATGTCCCTGGAGTGCCTGGGCTTGCAGGCAGCCCAGAAGGGCCATGCACACAGCCACTGTGAGCATCTTCCAAGTGCCTGAGTGCCTGGGATGCATGCAAAGACAGACAAGGAACAAGGAAGAGTCAGACATAGTTCAGGTAGCTGTGATGTGGAAGCAAACGTGTCAAGCTATCAAATTGTTTCCTGTCTGGTGACAAACAGCCACCTTTCTTGGGAAAATGTCATATCCTTTGGCATTCCTCTCCTTCCTTGGCAGCTAGGCCTCTGTACCAGGAAGTCAATGGTAGGGAGGCTGTCCTGCAAACAGATATTATGCCTGGGAGAGATTCTGCTGCTAGGAGCATGGGAAAGTAGCACAAGACACAAGGAGCCCCACAGGATTAAGAAGGGGACCTGTCCACTTTGCAAATGCAGCCAGTCTCATCTGTGAGCACAGTCGTCTAGACCAGCAGGGCAACCCTAGTCCAGGAATGGTAGCAGACCCCCCAGGTGATGGCTGAAACTGTGAGAAGAGGTGATATCTCCTCTCACCTCTCCCTTGGCTTTCTTCCATGTCTACTGGACTCTACACAGAACTGCTACTAATAATGACTGGCACAGTGATTTAAAACAGACTCTGAGCTAGGAGTGTGGTTCAGTGGTAAGGCACTTGCCTAGCATGTACAAAGGCCCTGGGTCCAATCCCCAGCATCATGCACACACACACTCACACACTCATACACACACACACACACACACACACACACACACAAATAACCTACTCACTGCCTGAGTGTGAATCCCAGCTCAACTCTTTAATAATTGGACACTTATTATTATTATTATTTTGGGGTTTGAACCCATGGCTTTGCGCTTGCAAAGCAGGTGCTCTGTTGCTTGAGCCACACCTCCAGTCCATTTTGCTCAGGGCAGAGCCCACCACCTTGTAAGCACCATGTGCACAGAAACTTCTTACTGCAGAAGAGCAATAGCAGCAAACACAGAATGCTTGCATGTGCCTATCACTGAACCAAGTATATTTTTCTTTTTGAGACAGGGTCCCACTATGTAGCCCAGGCTGACCTCAAACTTGAAATCCTCTTGCCTCAGTCTCCTGAGGCATTATAGATATGCACAACCATGCCCAGCCTGAACCATGTACTTCTATGCATTGCAACAAATCCCATGGAATTCAGACAAGAGCCCTGAAAAATCATGCAGGGTGTGTTCTGTTACAGTTTGCCCTTTTGCAGATGGAAAGGCTAAGGCTCTTTCCTGAATAATGGATAATGGACCCATAATATGAAAGTGGGAAGCTGGGACATGAGGCTTTCTGGCTCCTAGGCAACTGTATGCCACCAATTCTGAAAGGCAAGCATGTCATCAGGCTGGTTTCTGCCTGATTTGAGGCAGCTTGCACATCTGAGAGGCTTGTAGCCTTGGACAGGCCATGTACACATCAGAGTACTTGCTGTTTCTGGCCTTCTGTTCTGGTCAAGGTCATAGGGCCCAGTGTGTGCTGGTTTGCACCCTGAAGCAAATTTCCCACTGGGACCAGACTTTGGGGAAAGGGCACAAGGAAGTAAGGAGGAAAGAAACATGGTTGGCATCATGACCATGGGAAGTAGATGGTAGAAAGGAGGCCCAGCCTGGTGGTGGGAGAGTGAAGGGGGAACTAAGGGACTGACTGAGTACCCTCACAGAGGAGGCAGAGAGGATTGGCAGAATCTGCCTCCACACTGGGGGTGGGGGCGTACTGTGCTTATGCAGAGAGGGAGATCAGATTTAAAGAGAAGACTGAACATGTGAATGGCCCCACTGAGCCAGCCAGCTTATTAGCCACCATCCCCACACAGAGGGGACCAAATCTGCCTCTTGGCCCTCCCCTACCCTTCCTTTGCATCTTCCTTGTTTCTCTGGAGATCCAGTCCCAAGATGGCCTGGCAATAGCCACACCAAGTCAGAGGCCCAAGAACAATGTCTGGGATGGTGTCCACAGGATGCTGACATTTTCATTCATCCAAGGACCACCTGAGTGGCCCCCAGCCTTCCTCTCCTGTCTCTCTGTATCTGCACTCACTCCCAAATAAACATATGGACCACAGGCCCATTCTTTCTCCTGCTTGCCAGTCCTGTCTTTGGACCTCCAGTGTTTCCTTCTCAACTGGAAATAGCCTGTGCCCAGAGGGAAGAAAAAGCTGCAAGGTCAGTACTGGAGAGAGGCAGGCAGAAACCTGAAGCCCAGAGAACAGCCTGGAAAGGGGGGAAGCGCCAGCTGGCAAGCCATGTTTCAAACTCCTGATCAGTCCTGGAAGACAGGGCTCTGGATGTGCCCGGCACGGGGAGCTAGGGGACCTTACAGTGCCTGATGGAAGGTGCGGGGGAGTCCAAGACCCAAGGCCAGCACCTGTACCCACCCTCCAAGACTGTGGACCACCAGGTGCCTGGCTCTCTGCTAAATCCTATTCCTCCCTGACTGCATGCCAGGCTGCAGTCCTCCTTATCAGCCCTGTTCCCATCAGGGTTCAGGTCAGCTGTCCTTATCTCTGCTTATGTTCCCAGCACTCCTGTAAGCACCTGCCGTATCGGGTATTTCAACACAGTTGCTTACACTGTGGTTGCTGAACACCTAGGGAACAAGTCCTTCCTAAGTCAGTTTGGGTGGCAGGCCTGTGCATTTGCTTTACTCAAACTTTAATGGGTATTTGCATATCCTGGGGATCTTTTTAAAGTGCAGATTCTGGTAAAGAAGGCCAGGGGAGGAGCCAGATGTGCCTGCTCCAAGGAGCACAATTTGGTGGCAAGACTCCGGAATGCTGAGCAGGGCATCTGAATCAAAAGGCCCACAGCACATCAAGACAGTGCAATGCTGACTCAGTAGGTTCAGGGCAGACCAAACAACCAGGAACGGTTTAATTCGCCCATCTTCCTGGAACAACTGGCTACTAACTACTGAACCAGATAACGCCTATGTTAACCAGGGTGACTTTGTTATACTGCCTTAGCACCTCACAATAACAACAGGCAGGTTCTGGGCTGATTCTCACTTTACTGACAAGAAAGCTGAGCAAGTGGCATCAATTGTGAAGTCACACCCCAGCCCTCCTTGCTGCACTACCCAGTTTCTTTAGTCAAGAGAGGATTGTGCCAGGGGTCCCAGGAGCTACGTCCAGCTGTAGGACCTCAGCAAACCACTTAGTCGGTTTGAGTCCCGGTTTCTTCATCTATGAAACAGGGCTGATCCCACCAACCTGAAGGGCGGAGGCTTGTGAGGTTTAACTGTGATGAGGCATGCAACAAAAACAGACAAAAGCTGGGCGCTGGTGGCTCTTCCCTGTAATCCTAGTTACTCAGGAGGCGGAGATTAGAAGGATCATGGTTCAAAGCCAGCCTGGGCAAATAGTTCTTGAGACTCTATCTCGAAAAAACCAATCACAAAAAAGGGCTGGTGGAGTGGCTGAAGGTGTAGGCCCTGAGTTCAAACCCCAGTATTGCAAACAACAGCAACAAAAAGACAAAAATGCTAGACAAATGTTAACACAGTGAATTAAGCGTGCACCCAAGGGTGCATGATACCACTACTATCTAAGGGGAAGACTAGTCTCTTGGGCTACAGAGCCAACCTTGCAGATGGCCCTGGAGCACAGATCTACTTCACACTCCACTCCAATAAACACCTGCAGTGCCAGGAGCAGGAGAAAGGCTGGCATGGTTAACCTCCAGTTAAGGTAGGAATGGGACCCTCGTCCTGCAGCAGAGGTGTAGTACAGGGAAGCTCTGGCATAGCTCCCTGCGGTCCCTCCCAGTCACCCTCATGCTGTAGATAGAGGCTGTGTGTTTGAAAGGTTTTTTCTGAAGAACTTTTTGCTTGAGAGAACCAGGCTGGGAAGTAAATCTACCAAATTTGCAGAGAGCCAAAAAGCACGGCCATATAGATCCAACTATGAATTTTCTTCTCTTGTTTTTTAATTAAGAAATCAGTAAGATACCCTTGGTAAACAGTTGTGACGCTACAGGACAGAAAAGCCAGGATCTTCGGAACTGGAAAGTGTGGTCAGTCTTGTCTAGTACCTGCCCTAAACAACTATATAACCTTGAACCTGGCTGGGCCTCAGCTTCCTCAGCTTGGAAATGAAGCATATCCCAGATATTTTACTGCCCCTCAGTTCTATGCTTCCCAAGGAAGGGAAGTCTCTGCCCTACCATCAGAGAGATTCAGGAAAGTGCTTAGAGCCCTATACCAACACAGTAGGGCCAGGAAATCCAGAGCTAAATTACGATGGAGCTGCTACCTGAGTGTGGAGAAGTTAAGACTCTTTGAGTTATATCCTAAGAGTGAGGTGGATACAGTTTCATGTGCAACAATTCTTATTCAAGAAACTGGCCAGGAGATAGTGTAATGGCTGAAGCAGGAGGATGGTTAGATTGAGGCCAGTCTGAGCTACACAGTGATAAAAAAAAATAGTAATAATAAAAAGGAAGGAAAGAAATATGAAGAGAGAAAAGAAGGAAGGAAGGACAGAGGGAGAAAGGGAAGAAGGGAGGGAAGAAGGAAGAGAGGAAGGAAGGGAGGAAGGAAGGGAGGGAAGGAGGGAGGGAGGGAGGGAGAGAGGAAAGAAGGAAGGAAGGAAGGAAGGAAGGAAGGAAGGAAGGAAGGAAGGAAGGAAGGAAGGAAGGAAAGTAGCCAGAAATGCATTCACTACAAAATCCAAGGACCTCTTCCAGGGACAGGCACCAGGCACTGCTCTGCCAGGATCATGGTACAGTTAGGACTGACTGGGCACAGTGACTCAGTCCAGGACATCATTGGCTGCCCAACTCTGAGTCTGAGAGGTCATCCAGGGGAGACTCACCTGTTAGACAAGGGCCCTGCTAACATCCCAGAAAGGGGAACCCTTACTTGGCTGGCCAGGGGGTCTGGATCAGAACCTGGCTCTAGTCTTTGTTTTCACCCATGTGGGAAAGGTATGCGTCTGGCCAGACTCACACAGCTGTGCCTGATCAGGCCAGCACAGGCAGAAGCAGTCTGTGCCAGAGCTCCAGCAGCAGAGCAGTGTCTGGTCAGCCATAGGAGGAAGCAGGGCTGGCCCTTTCTGCCCAGCAGAGCAGGGGTGGGAGGAAGGAGCTGGGAGGGAAAGGTCAGTGGCTGCTGCTGGCGCCATGTTCCCTTTCCAGCCCCATGGACGACACTGCTTCTGTGTGTGAGGCAGGAAGAGGGAATGTCCTTTAAATCACAACCCATAAGTTTGGAAGAACATTGGAGGAAAACAAGAATCAAACTAAAGTTCACTTTAAACTGAAGCCAACCCTAGTACTTTCCCTGCACACTTCCTCTCTTGTCCTGGTCCACCTGTGCCAAAGGCATCCATGCAGCCCCAAGTCCAAACTCTGCAGTCAGTCAACTTTGATCTGTGTTCATTCCCCTCAGGACCAGACAGGAGACAAAAGCTTCCAGATGCAGCTCTGGGGTCCTTACCGAGCTGAGACCTCTCACTCCTACTTCCTCTGTAGGTACCAGTTGTGGGTGGCCAGAAACAGTGAAGGACTACACCCACTTCATAACTGCATACAAGAATCAATCACTAAATTTTCAGGTCAGTTGTTAAACACAGCTATTACTAAAAATAGAATTATATAAATACATAATTAAGTTAGATTAAAAATTAAGGTAATAATCAAAAGTCATTGCCTCCTAATCATTTGACCACTTTTTTCACTCTCATCTATGCTTTTTATAGTTCTTGTATCTGTAAGGGGGAGATATTTCATATTAGTGTGCTAGAACCTGGCCAACGGGAATATTTATACCACAAATATTGACAAAGGCTATGAATCAGGTCCCCACTGCAATACCAACCCATGCAGAACCGACTGTTAAACATTTACCGGCCCAGAGCTGAACTTTCCACACAACTTCAGACAAGTTCAATCAACTGCACTGAGTTAGCCTCCCTACCTGCTTCAAGTGCAGTTCCCCCAGCCTCCATCCTTCCAGGTGATCACGTCGCAAACCTTGGGATGGTCAGATCTCTTGGCAAATCCTATAGTATCTATCTTCAAAATTTATTTAGGATACAACTGCTCCTCATCACCTTCTTCCACTCCACCATGGTCTCTGTCTGGATTACTTGGGAACCTCCCTCGTGACCTCCTGCATTTACCTCTAGTCCCTAGGGAGCTGAGCTCAGGGATCACGGTGACCTTCAGGGTCTACACATCTCACCCTCCTGCCCATCCCTCTGATCTCTTCTTCTCATCTGCCCCTCTTCAGACTCTAGCTGCTCATTCTTCTGCCTCAGCGCCTTTGTACTCACTGTGCTCTCTGCCTGGCCTACTTTTCCCAGCAGTGGTCCACCTGATTACTCCCTCATTCACCTTAGCTCTTTACTGAGCCATCAATAGCTCAGTAAGGCTTTCTCAGGGCACTTCAATAAACTGTAAACCAGCCACCTCCATCTCACACCCTCAGCCCTCCTCTCCTGCCTTATATCTCTCTGTAGAGCTATCACTTTCTAACATACCCTATGAAAACTACATTTATCTTGCTTATTGTCCACCACTCCTTCCCTCCCCTGCCCCAGAAGGTAAGTCAGGGAGGAGGCATAGGATTCTTCTTTGTTTTGTTTCCTAAAGTAGTTCCATTACCCAAAGCATGCCTAGCACACAGAGGACACTCTAGAAGCAGTTGCTGAAGGAACTAAATCAACAAATACATCTGAATGACTGCATGGAGGAAAAAGCTCCGATGGTGATTTTGGGCATCAGCAGCTGCTTATTACTTGTAACAAAATGTTAAGTAATAAGAGCTATTTATTGAGCACTTAGCCATATGCCAAACGCTAGGCTATGACAGGCATCATACCCTTTAATCCTCACCACAAGCCATGAGGTAGGTACTACTGTGACCCCATGTTCAGCAGTGAGTAGAGAAGAAAGAAGGCTTACAAGGCAGAATAACTTCCCGAGGGGGCCAGACAGCTTAGAGAGGACAGGATGTGAGTATGGCAGTCCAGATGGAAAGTTAGCTTCCCTCCTACTGTAGAATGTGTGGTTATATCTCCAAATGGCAAAACTGTAATCACTGTCTTGGTGTAGATAATGGTTCTGCTCCTCTCCAAGACTGGACCAATAGGGGTTTTGGCTGGACAGGCTAGTTCTCTCACACAAACTAGCCAGTGGGCAGCAGCTCTGCTCCAGGACACAGCTGCTCTGGCCACACATCCACTTTGCCTAACAGTGATTCCCCCTCCCTCCTTCTGACATTAAAAAGCTCTGGTAAAATCTGGAAGGCCCTCAGGTTAGTTTCTGGAGAGCTGGCTAAGCGAGAGAGCCTTGGATTCAACTCTTAGCCCTGTCTCTGAGCAGCTGGGTGACCTCCGACAAGTTATTTAACCTTTGTACCTTAACCACAGAGTGGGAAAACAAGCCGATGAGGAGATAAGGGGAGTATGGCACTTATGGAAATGCTTGGCAAGCAGTAAGCACTCAAAAAGTGTCAGTTCCACCTCTGCACATCACCAGCATGAACAAGGCGCTTCTTACCACCTTCTCGGAATGCCTGTAAAACCAATAAACCATCTCACAACAGAAAAATATGCTAAGGAGGCAGGGTGGGGTGTGTACAGCAATAATCACAGCTATTCCAGAGACAGACATAAAGAAGATCACAGTCTGAGGCCAGCTCAGGTAGAGAGCATGAGACTGTATGGGAAAAAGAAATTAAAAGGACTAGGGTGTGACTCAAGTGGCAGAGAAAGGCTCTGAGTTCAATTCCCAGTATTCAGAGGAGGAGGAGAAAAGCAGCAGCAGCAAAGGAATGGCTCATGACAGCTTATTGGACCTGCAATCATAGTGATGAAAAAGGGATCCGATGCTGGGATCTTTGCACTCCCTTTGAGTTTCTCATGTGGCAGGAAGAGTAAAGAATAAGGAATGGGTCTGTAGCTCAGTAGTAGACTGCTTGGCCAGCATGCATGAAGCCCTGGGTTTGATCCTCAGAACTGCCAAAAATAAATACATACATACCAAAGAATAAAAAGAGTAAGCTCTAACTCAGGCTTAGGGTTGCCCTAAGCTCTTTGCTTAATTGCTCTGGGCTGTAAAGCAAGGACATTTCGCCTTGTTCAAACAGGTGACCAAAGGAAACTTTCCCTTTCCCTGTGTTTGCTTACAGGTTTCCCTTTTAAATGACCCAGAACTATCCACAGAATAACAGTAACTTAAACTCTACTCTTTGGGTAAAAACAAATTCCTGCCTATACTCACTATGGCTTTGTGTTGAGCCATCATGTATTTCAAAGAAACCGTTATGCCAAAAATTCTCAAAAATAAGCCCTACTCAACAGCTAGGAGACATGGCTCCCACTTGTCAACCCAGCTTCGCAGGAGGCTGAGGTTGGGAGGATTGTGGCTTGAGACCAGTCACAGCAAAAAGTTTATGAGATTCCATCTCAATAGAAAAAGCTGGTAGTGATGGAAAATGGTGATCCACACCCACTTAGCAAAAAGTGAGACTCTATCTCAAAAATAACCACAGCAAAAAGGGCTGGAGGCACTGTTTAAGCAGTAGAGCACCTGCCTAGCAAGCTTGAACCCTGAGTTCAAACCCCAGTACTGAAAAAAGCAAAACAAAACGAAACAAAAACCACCCCAAATCCTCTGCTCATGCTAGACGCAGCACTCTTATCTTGGGTGTTTCCAAAATTCACTAAAAGATTAGCCTCACAAACTCAAAGACTTTATCATGCACCGCTGCAGAGACTGTAGAACGTAGTCTAGACTATGTCCAATCTGTCATGTTACCCCCCACGAGCCATGCTCTGGGGATGGGGGTGGGGGGAGTGCAACGATCTTAGCCTTAAGATGTCTCCAGAGTTCTCGTTTCTGGCTAAGCATTCAAGACTGTGCAGAGACCCAGCGAGGTTTACCTCTGGAAAATCACTCACTGGGTGGTGTGTTGGAAACGCTGTCTGAAACCCGAGAGCACAGGCCAAAGCTTAAGCAGTGGGAAAGCTCGGGGCTCCCACGCATCGGATGTCGTTCCGGGAAGCCTAAGGAATGGGGCGCGTTGGGCCCCCTGGGAGGAGCCTGGCCGCCTTCTAGTGACCGGCCACCAAACCGCACCGAGCCCTCAGGCTCTGTGGACGGTGGCGATTCCTTTATTCTGCGGAAGGAGGGCACGGGCGCGGAGTCTAAGAGGCGACAGCGGGCGGGTGGGTGGCGACTCCGGCGAGCACAGTGCCTGGGGATCCCTGCTACCTCCTTGGCCAGGCTCCAGGCCGGCTGGCTGACCGTCGGGTTATAAATAACTCAGCTGGAGAGCAAGCGGGGGCGGGGGTGGCAGCTTACTTCATCTCGCTCGGTAGAGCCCGCAGCTCCTCCGGGAAGTGGCCGGGGCGAGCGGGCTGGCGGGCAGGGTTCGCTCCCGGGGGCTTTCGGGCCTGCGACCCCGGCTCACGCCTCCTCTTCCGCAGGGCCACCGCCCCAGCAGGTGCGTGCGTCACGCGGGCCCGCGCCTCACCGGCGCTCGGATTGCGCCGGGGCGCTCGGGAAGGGCTCAAGGCCAAGTCCAGCCCTGCGGCCGCCCCGCGCCTGCCCGGCCCCCTCGCCCCACAACCTGAGATGCCACCGAGGGTCAGGGCAAGCAGCCCCGCACCCGCTCACCCCGGGGGCCAGACTTCAGGCCACCGCAGCCCCGCACCCGCTCACCCCGGGGCCAGGGGCGCGCGCAGTAGGGCCCAGGAGGAGGCGCGCGCAGTGGGGCGCGGAGCGAAACGCGCGCGCGCGCGGCAGCAGCCTGGCGTAGGGCGCGCGGAGGGGGCGGGGACATGGGCGGCCACGCCCCGTGGCTCGCGCTCGCCTGCGAGGAGGCGGGGCCTTCTTCCCCGGTTAGCGTGGGGCGGTTGAACTTGAGCGCCCGCCCCGCCTGCCTTCGCAGCTCTGTTCCCCTCCTCGGGTCCTTCTGCTGCCGGAAATGCGCGTGTGCCCCCAAAAGATGCCAAGGGAGGTGGTTGTCTCGTCGGGAGATCCCGGGAGTCGGGTTGCTGGCTCCTCCTGGGATCTGGATCAGGATACCTGACCTCCCCAGGCCTTGTTTTCCCCCATTGGTAGAAGGAGCGTCCAAAGAAGTTCAGTGTCGACCCCGTTTCCAATATCTAGAGATAGTGAGTTAAGTGTTGGAGTACACGCGCTTGTCACGCCCCATCAAACAGCTCCACCTCACTCACACCTCATCATTAGGTGGCATTGACACCTGACTGCATCTTCACAATGAAAATCATGGGAGCACCCGCCTCGGGCTGTCTGGCGGATAGTAAGACCTAGTAAAAGGCAGCTTGTACCTGTGGCTGTAGGAAAGACGGGAAATGGAGTAAGATCGTCTCTGGAGGGTAACAGGTGTTTAAAGTTGGATCTCAGCACTCTGTGGGTGATCATTTCCGTCCTCCATCCGCTCCTCTCCATTACTGTGCAGTATGCACCCTGCCCCAATCTCATGCCCACTTCTTCACCCTCTGTCAGTGCCTGTGGTGGCCCTTGCCATTGAAGAGGTGGCTGCTTCGTCCCTAGGTGGCCCTTTCTCTTATCAGAGCCCAAGTGACCAGCCAGACTACCAAGGACATCTCTTGGATGTGGGTATCCATCCCTACTCCTGGAGGAAATTATCTCTGTCCTTTCTTCAGATTACTGCCTAGCCACCCCAGGGACAGAGACTGCATGGCCATCTCTGCTGAAGACCACTGGTACATTCTGGAGTGGGAACTCAGACCTGAGAGAAAATGAGTAGCAACCTTTTATTTCACGATGATGGCTTCCCAGGTAGGAGCATCAGGAATTAGCAGGGGGAAGTTAATAGTGACCAGAAGGACTAAGTGAGGCCAACAGGCATGATTACCACACAGGATGTTGGGCAAGGAAGTTCCAGGAAGGCTGGGAGCTGGGGAGAGCTGGGCCCCACTGTCACCAATCCCAGGGGCCATATGGGGACCTGCAGAGAGCTGCTGAGCCTCGGGAAGGATTTAGGTCACACTGAGTGGAGTCTGGGGTAGGAAGTAAGTTCGAGGGTCCAAGGCAGAGGTCAGTCAACCAACTCAGCTGATGCCCTCACTCCTGGCTTAGAGTTCTTTCCACATTCCATAACCCCATGAAACACAGCTATGAAAACTCAGGCCAGGGAAGGTGCAGATGAGAGTAGACAGGTGCCCAAGGACTGAGATGACCTGAGGTCATTTCTCAGACCTCAATGTGGCAACTACAGGGCGACCTGTTAACCTGAGGACATCTTTTAAAATATTTCCAAACAGGGTGAACACGACCAAAGTAGGTAGCATAATAAAACCCGCTAAATACTGTTTGAAAAAGCCGGGGTGGGGGGGGCACTAAGGGACTATAACAGAGGGGGTGAGTCTGATCAAAGTACATTGTACACATCTTTGGAAGTAATAGTGCGATGAAACCCTTTGTATAATTTGAGCTAATTTAAAAAAAAAAAAGAAAAGAAATCTTTGATGAACTTTAAAAAAAAAATCCCTAAATCAATTTAGCAAGCTGAAACCAGCTTGCTAAGAAATTCCTGTGCACTCACTTCATTGGGTGGTGTTGGGGCGGGGTGAGAAGAGGAGCCTGGATGTCATTCTTGCTCTCCTGCTGGGATGTCTCCCTCCCACAAGCCTGGGTGATGCTTCCCTTCTCTCTCTCCTTGCTTGCCGTCTCAGTCTCATCTCTCCCCTGTGCCTTCTAGTTTGATCTGGACAATTGTTTTGCTTTCTTTCCATCACAAGAACAGTTTGGTTATGCTAAACCCCAGCATCTGAAACCTTGCGCACGTGGACCTGGCGATTGATCTCAATACTTTGCCTGTCTGAAGCATTTCTCATTTTTGTGCTAACTGCAGTTACTTTGCCCTCCAGGTCATGTCACAGGGACCAGCTGCGCCCAAAGTTCCATGAATTCCAGGAGTGGTGACCCTGGGGGGGGGTAGGGGGGAGGGGAATTCTGTGACCAGATTACATCTGTAGCTTACCTCCTGCAGGAAAAGGAAAACCCTGGGGCTCTGTTTATGAAGCTACTGTTTCTTGGATTTTTCTTCTTAGTCCTTCCACTGTGGGGTAGGCAGAAGCCAGGGTTAATTCAGCCTGCATTACAGACATGGAAAGCAGACCCAGATTGATGAGTGACTCACATTGTCTGTGGAGTTAGAAATAAAATCACACTGCAGCCTCTGTTTTCAGGTACCTCCCTCTAAGTCACTCTACCTCTGGCTCCTAGCTTCTCACAGGGAGGGAAGAGGAGGGGAAGCAAGTGGTGGTGATTTAATTTTCTATTGCTGCCAGAACCATGTGACACAATCAAACAACACAGACTTATTATCTGACAGCTCAGGGGGGAAGAAGCTTCACTTGAGTCTTGGAGTGAGGCTGAGCTCTTGTCTGGGGGACCATTTTCTGGGTCAGGTCTTGCTTCAGCCTTTTTCTGCTCAAGGCAGAATGCAGTACCTTGTGGTTTTAGTACTGAAATCCCTCTCTTTTCTTTTTTCCTTTCTCTCCCTCTCTCCCTCTCCCCTCTTTCCCTCCCTCTTTTTCTTTTATTTCCTTTTCTTTCTTTCTCTCCTTCCCTCCCTCCCTCCCTCCCTCCCTTCCTTCTTACCTTTCTGACAGAGTCTCACTATGTAGCCCAGGTTGGCCTCCAACTCACACACAATCTTCCTGCCTTAGCTGGGATTACAGACATCCACCACCACTCACAGCTGAAATCTCTGTGTTTCTGCTGGCTTCAGCTGACAGCCATGCCCAGCTTGGAAATCCCTTAGCTTGTGGCCCCCTTTCCCCATCTTCAAGGCAGCAAAGGAAGATTGAATGGTTTGAATTTCTCCTTGTTTTATCTCTGACTCAGTTGGGAAATCATCTCTCTTTTGAAAGATGAATGAGACTAGTTTGGGGACACTTGTGTAATCCAAGATAATTTCTATCTCATTGTCAATACCCTTAATCACATCTGCGAATACCTTTAAAGAGCCATTGCTCTGCCCACCACAAGTTACAAACGTGCAGATTCTCAGTTCCTCTGGATTATACAGGTCTTTATCACATAATTTTTGAACAGCTTCACTGAGACGTAATTCACAGACTATACAATTCAACCATTTAAAAGTACAAGTTAGTGGTTTCTGGTACATTCACAGAGTGGTACAACCACCACCACCACCAAATTACATCATTTCTGTTACCTCAACAAGAAACCCTCAGCAGTCTGCCCACTGCCGTCCACCCTCTTAACACCTGCAAGTTGCTCATCTGTTTTCTGGCTGTGGATTTGTGTGTCCTGAACATCTCATATCAGTAAGTTACACAATGTGTGGCTTTGGGTCTGAACACGTATAATGATCTCCAGGTTCACCGGTGTCAGAGTGCACATTGATGCTTCGTTCCTTTCTTTGCTTGGGTGGCTCTGGGGTTTGAATTCAAGGCCTTGCACTTGCATAGGAGCCATCCACCACTTGAGCCAGTCCCCCGCCCTTTTTGCTGTAGTTATTCTCAAACAGGGACTCATTTTTATGCCCTGGCTGGCTGGACCATAAGCCTCCCATTTTTTCTTTTCTACGTAACTGGGATGACAGGCGTGTGCCATTACACCCAGTTGTTTGTTTTTCATTATGATGGAGCCTCACAAACTTTTTTGCCTGAGCTGGCCTTGAACTGTGATCCTTTGAATCTCCACCTCCCAAGAAGCTAGGATTATAGGTGTGAGCCACGGTGCCTGGCCATCTAAATAGTACTTAATTGCATGTATACACTTCATTTTAAAAGTTGATCCATGCATCAGTTGATGGACGTTTGGGTCTTATGAATGATGCAGTTATGAGCCTGTGTGTACATGTTTTTGTACATTTTTCTCAAGCACATAATTAGGACATTGGGATCATAAGATAATTCTGTTCAAACTGTGAGGAACTGCCACAGTTTCCCAAAGTGACTACACCGTTCTCTGTTCCCACCAGCAGTGCACAAGGGTTCCAATTTCCCAGCATTCTCACCAACACTTGTGATTATCTGGCTTCTTTTATTATAGTCATTCTAGTGGGTGGGCAAGGGGATCTGTCATTGTGATTTGGATTTCCTGATGGCTAATGAGGCTGGGCATCTTTGGACATGCTTCCTGGCCATTTGTACACTCTTCTTTGAAAAAATGTCCAGTCATATTCTTTATCATTTCTTATTGGGCTCTGTGTCATTTTTATTGAGTTGTTAGAATTCTTTATATATTGTAGATAAAAGTTCTTTACCAGATATATGATTTGCAAAATTTCTCTCCCATTCTGTGGGTCTTGTCTTTTTCACTTTCCTGATGGTATCCTTCAAGGCATAAGTTATAATTCTAGCGAGGGGAGTATGGCTCAAGTGGTAGAGCACCTACCTAGCAAGTGTGAGGCCCGGAGTTGAACCCCCAATACTGCTAAAAGAATTAAAATTTTTTTTAAAATTTAATTCTGATGACATCTGATTTCCCTATTTTTATTTTTGCTGCCTGTGTTCTTGGTGTCATATCTAAGAAGCTTGTCTAATACAATGTAGTGAAGAGCTGTGCGTTCATTTTCTTCTAAGAGTTTAAAAGTTTGGACTCTTACATTTAGGATTTGTTTGTTTGTTTTGTGGTACTGGGACTTGAACCCAAGGTCTCTACCATTTGAGCTATGCCCCCAGGCCCTTGAAGGATTTGGGGTTTTTTTGTTTGTTTGTTTTTGTTTTAGCAGTCCTGGGGTTTGAACTCAGAGCTTGGCACTTGCTAGGC